ATTTAATAAATAATAGTAATAATAATATAATAGTAATTATTATTATTATTATTATTAATCCGCGATTGCAATCTTTTGTACGTAACCGTTAATCCAACCGCTCACTTATTATGGTCGAACACAAATCTAAAATGCCGGGGTGTTACCTATACCCTGTAAAATTATCAAACCCTAAAAAACCCCTCGGAAAGATTTTTATTTAATTAAAATAAATATTCTAAAAATTTCTAAAAATTGAAATAAAACTTCAAAAATCCCCAAATTAAATTACAGCCATCTTCTAGACCTCCCTCAATTTATAAAATTATTAAACCCAAGAACAAACATCCACAGAGACTCAAAACAATTAAAACATCCAAAACATACGTTTCTGGAAATTCCAACAACTTTAGTGACCACCCAAAATCTGTCACTAAAAGCCTGTAACGCCTGTTGCTAAAAACCCAGAATTGCACCCTCATGAAAAATCACCAAATTGATCGATCTAACTCAAAGGGATCGAGTTACCTTACCTCTAGAACATGCCTAGGACTCGATTAGATGGCCCGGGATGTTGATCTCCTCTTTGATCGATGATTGAATCCTCAAACGTCACCGCTAATAAAATACGAGCTTCGGATTAGACTATCGATGAATCGAGTTTAGAAATCGCGATGGGGTTCGGGGTTCTTACCTAGAGCACGAAAGGGATGTGATCGGGATCGGGATCGGCGACTCCTTCTTTTCCTCTGGCCCGCGCCCGCGACTGCTTGGAAATAACACGAGGGTTTGCGGCGGTGGGATGAGAGATTTTAATTGAGGTTAAAAGAGATGGGGAAGAGAGAATTATTGAAGGCGAGAATGGGTACGGGTTAAATTCTTGTGGGGGGAGATTACAGGGGGCCGAGCGGCTCCAACTTTGAGTATTTATATATATATATTTTTTAATAAATAATAGTAATTATTATTATTATTATTAATCCGCGATTGCAATCTTTCATACGTAACCGTTAATCCAACCGCTCACTTATTATGGTCGAACCCAAATCTAAAATGTTGGAGTGTTACAGAGTGTTTAAGTTTGAACCACATTGGGCCAAACATATTGACTGTATGAAAATTGTTGAGGAAGTTTGGATGACAAGAACAACAGACTTTTTCTCTCGGATGGAAGATGCGAAGTATGGTTGGACAGTTGGAGTGGAGCTACCTTTCCTAAATTTAGGAAGCCGAAAGAGAAAATTAAGTAGGCGCTAAAAGCTTTGGAGATGCTGCCAAAGTCGGACTCAGTGCTGATATAGAGTAACAAGCTCCGATCGGAGCTCGAAGATGTTGAATGTGATGAGGAGCTTTTCTGGAAATAGCAATCCCGGGCTTATTGGTTAAAGGATAGTGATCAAAATACCAACTACTTCCATAGAAAGGCTACCGCGAGACATAAAAGAAACACAATCATCAAATTGAAGGATGAGATGGGCCGCTGGTGTAGAGGACAAGATGAGGTGTTTGGGTGTCTGATGTTGTACTTCGGGCGGTTGTTTAAGACGGGGGAATGACCGTCTGTTACACCTGTTCTGGATTTAATTGGCAGCCGAGTTCCGATGGAGGCCAATGCAATCTTACTTCGCCCGTTTTTGAGGGAAGAGATGTTTGCAGCACTAAAACAAATAGGCAAGAGGAAAGCATAAGGAGAAGATGGATTGTCAGTATTATTCTACATAAAATTCTGGCATATAATTGTTGACGATGTCACAACTCTCGTTATACGTATAATAGAGCAAGAGAGTCTACCCCCCAACTTGAATCATTCACTGATCGTCCTAATCCCTACGGTCAAAGAACCAACAACGCTTAAGGAATTTCGGCCGATAAACTTATGTAATGTCCTTTACAAGATTGTGGCGAAGATGCTAGCAAACCGAATGAAGAGCCTGCTGGATATCGTGATCTCCCCGGAACAGAGCGCCCCGAGCACTTTATAGCAGAAAATATCATGACAGCTTTTGAGTGTTTGCACACGATGAAGAAGCAGACAAAGAATAAGAAGGGCTACTTTGCAGCAAAGACGGATATGGCAAAGGCGTACGATAAGGTGGAATGGTGGTTCCTGGAGGGTGTAATGAAGAATATGGGCTTTGCTAACAGATGGGTTTGACTAGTGATGTGTTTGACATCTGTATCCTACTCGGTGCTTGTGAATGGTCACCGCTCTGCTAGTTTAATCCAGAGTAGAGGCCTCCGACAAGAAATCCGCTCTCATCGTATCTTTTTCTACTGGTGGCAGAAGGTTTATCGGCTTATATAGCAAAAGCAATGCAAGATGGGAGGATCCATGGATTACAGGTTGCGCAAGGGCCCCCTGCAGTCATCTTTTTTTGCTAACGACTCTATATTTTTTGCCAGGTTCACACCACTAGAGAGTCGGGACCTGAAACATATTCTCAGCAACTATGAAAAAGAATCTGGCCAGATGATAAGCTATGAAAAGTCGAAAGTGTCTTTTTGGGCAAGTGTGAAACCGCACCAAAGTCTCCAAGTGAGCTCGATCTTGAATATGAAAACTGTGAAAAAGCATGATAAGTGTCTTGGTTTAGCCACTGAGGCAAGCATATAAAAAAAATAATTGTTTACTACCATTAAGGAAAGAGTGAGAAAGAAGCTTTCTGGATGGAAGGAGAGAAATATGTCTGTAGTTGCTCGAGAGGTTCTGATTAAATTTGTGGCCGAGGCCTAACTGACTTATGTCATGTCGGTTTTTTGAGCACCTGATGGAATTATTAGACCTGGAAATTGGGTCGGGTTGGGTAATTTTGGGTTCAAAACTTTGGTTCCGGGGCGGGTCATGTTTGGTTGGCTTATTTCGGGTTAAATATTGACCCAACCCATTCGGTTTCGGGTCGGGTTACAGGTCATTTCGGGTTATGAGCGTTCTCAAAAACAATATCAAACATGCTTCATATTTTCTTAAAGAATACAAATTTCCACATATGCATGACAATAGTTTACCTAACACATGTCAATTAACATATTCTCAAATCCTCCCATGCTGATGAAATGAAATATAAATTGCGCAAATCATCAAAAAACAATCACAAGAGTAATTCTACTACAAGAAACACATGATATTTGATTATCCTTAAACTTCAAACATGTCATTCAAATCCTGTGATTTTTTTTTAAACATCTCACCAATTTATGAGTTATTTTTATCATTTTTTGGGAGTAATATATTAACTGGAACGTTTCTAACGAGTCGACCCGCTAACCCACTAAACCCGACCCAAAATCACGGTTGATGGGGTTAGGGTCATTCGGATTTTGGGTTAAAAAAATTTCTAGTTTTTGGGCGGTTTCGGGTTGGGTCAACGGGTCGGGTTGTAATTTGCCAGGTCTAGGAATTATTGACGATGCTCATGGCATGATTTTGCGTTTCTGGTGGGGACAAAAAGGAATTGAGAAGAGAATCCCATGAATATCGACGGAGAAGCTAGTCTACTCGGAGGGGGGTATCGGATTTCGTGATCTGCGCTACTTCAACACTGCTTTGCTAGCTAGAAAAATATGGAACCTTCATCAGTGACAGTCCTCACTTATTTCAAGGATGGTGAAGGAAAAACAACTACAAGAATGTCACAGCTCTCGAGGAAAATGTCGGGTACCGACATAGTTTTGATAGGTAATGAGTGCACAAGAATTCTTATGCAACGGGTTGAGGTGGAGGATAGGTAATGGTGATTCGGTGAGCGTTTGGGGGGGGGGGGGGAGTGTTGCGGACAGATGGTTGCCGAATGTCTTGGGTTTCTTTGTTCAGTCGCCACCAATGGGGCTTTTGATCGACTCGAACCTCAATGGGACGAAGCAATTATTGAAAGGTGCTTTCCAGCGGCGATGGTGGACACCATTTTGCGCATCCTGCTACGAGGTATCTGCAAACCCGATCGGGAAATTTGCGCATCGAGCAAATCTGGGAGCTACGAAGTAAGGGAGGGTTATTGCATGTGGTTGAGGATTTCAAGAACCAAAGAGGGATACAACTGATAGGAGGCAAAGACGTGGAACGCTATCTGGACTATGCGACATTTTATGTGGCATTTTGCAAGGACTTCCCTAGCTACAGGCGACAAGGTTAGTGCAAGAAGTGCGCGACGAGGAGATGCTTGCCCGTTCTGCAATCTTAACGAGACCTAAATTCATATTTTTGGTGAGTGTGGTTGGGCATGCAGAATATAGCGCTCATCAACTAGAGCGAAGTGGTTTGAGATGAGGGATAATGCGGGATGCCTTGACTAGGTGGCGAAAATGGTTAAAGCAGCGACAACGAGGAGTTTGTGGACTGGAGTGCCTTGCTATGGTTTCTTTGGAAAGAGCGTATCACACATTTGTTCAATAGTGCTAAGTTAGTCGAAGAAGAAATCATTATGCGAGCCCATGCGTTCTTTGATTATTATCGGCAGTACTAGGAGGCGCTACAGGATAGACTAGGACGAGGCGTGCCTAAAATCTAGAGTAGCCCAATGGAAGGAAAAATTAAAGTCAAAGCAGACGCTGATGTGGTGAATGGAGGAATGGGTTTGGGCGTCGTTATTCGAGATGCTATGTGGCATTTCGTGTTAGCGGCAACTAAGAAGATCTGTAATGGGGGAGATTCGGAGATGGGCGAGGCCATGGCGGGAGAGTTCGACATCCAGTTGGTGTGACAACACCAGATGGGAACTCCAGTTCTCCAAACAGATTGCTAAGCTTTCAACAACAAGGAAAATCCAAATTGTCACAGCATATGCAAACTGATGGGAGAAGTCGGAGGAGGTGAGTGAAGGCATGTGAGTAGGACTGCGAATGAGACTGCTCATATTATGACATATGTTAATACAAGGTGGAATGTATCAGAGATCTAGTTTGATAGACGACCTATGTATTTGCTTAATCAACTGAAATTAGATGACGTAATAATTTCTTCGGATTAATAAAGTTTGGAGCAGATTACCATAAAAAAAAATATCGAACCGCTCGTGTTGAGCTCGGCTCAACACTACCATTAATCCCATAACTAATTTTTTTACGCGGCGGATAGTTTGAAGAATCGGAAAGAGACGCCCACATCAGTCTCTTCTTCCCAAATCCCAACCCTGGAGCCCTTTTCCCCCGACCACCTCCATTTGCTGCCGGCGAGTACCCCGTTTCTACTCCCAGCAGAAGAATGCCCCCGATCAGAAGCTTCACTCTTACACCTTCCCGCCTGAAAGACATCCTCCTCCTCTTCTCCCTCCTCGCCGTAGTCTACCTCACCTTTCGCAACCCTCTGCCACGACCACCGCCGTCAGATCGCGGCGATCTCCCCACGTCTTCTACCCCCACCACCCGCAGCCACATCCTCTTCTCCATAGCCTCATCCTACGGTGCATTCCTCCGCCGCAAACCTTACATCAGCCTCTGGTACGACCCCAACTCCACCCGTGCTTTCGCCTTCCTAGACGCCGCCCCGGCCGATCTCCCCTCCCATCTCCCTCCGGTAATAATCTCAGAGGACACATCTCGCTTCCCTTACACATTCAAGGGCGGTCTGCGATCTGCAATCAGAGTTGCGCGGGTTGTGAAGGAAGCCGTCGAGCTCAATCAAACCGGCGTGCGGTGGTTCGTCTTCGGCGACGACGATACGGTTTTCTTCGTCGATAATTTGATTAAGACGCTGTCTAAGTACGATCACACGCGGTGGTTCTACATCGGGAGCAATTCCGAGAGCTACGAGCAGAACATGAAGCATTCATTCGATATGGGCTTCGGCGGTGGGGGTTTTGCAATCAGTTCCCCCTTGGCTAGGGTTTTATCTAGGGTTTTAGATTCTTGCTTGGTGCGTTACTCCCATTTGTACGGAAGCGATGCCAGGATCTTCTCTTGCTTGGCCGAGTTAGGTGTTGGGCTGACTCACGAGCCTGGCTTCCACCAGGTGAACCTCAAACTTCAAAATCTTCCCACCAATTTTCAATTCCGTCTGCATTAGGAAATTGAGAATGCAACTCTTGGCAGATGGAGAATAATGAGTTTTAGCCATAGTATTGAAGAAAGTTCCCTTATTTAGTTCTGTGCTGTCAGGTTGACTTGCGGGGGAATTTATTCGGGTTGCTTTCAGCTCATCCATTGTCGCCATTGATATCTCTTCATCATCTGGAAGCTTCAACCCCTGTTTTCCCCACTATGAACCAAACTCAAGCTATGGAACATCTTTTCCAGGCTGTGCATGCCGACCCTACTAGGATTTTGCAGCAAGTAGTTTGTTATGACCACACAAATTCCTTCACTGTTTCAATCGCGTGGGGCTATTCGATTCAGGTGTTTGAAGGAAATGAGCTTCTTCCTGATCTTCTCTCGCTGCAGCAGACCTTTTCGCCGTGGAGAAGACATCGAAACCCACTTGCTGGCTATTACATGTTCACCATGAGACCCTATCCTAAAGATCCATGCAAAAGGCCTGCTGTCTTCTTTATGAAAAATGTTAAGTCTGGTGAAGACGGGATTTGGAGCAGTTACACTAGGCACAATGTTGAGGATTGCTCTAGGGCTTCTAGGGCCATAAATAATCTTGAGTACATCAAGGTATCATCGGATAAATTGAAGCTTGATGCTGAACAGGTATAAGAATGCGTTGACGTGGTATTCTTTTGACTGCCAACTTAAAATTTGGTTTCAGCTGTGCTGACTGGTTCTGTACCTGCAGATTTGGGCTCCACGTCGGCAGTGTTGTGATGTTTCCTCCTCATCTGAGAAATCCATGGTTATTAGAATCAGGCAGTGCGGAAACAATGAACTGATTGCCATGCATCTATAGTGATTCTGGAATATGTATACATGTTTTATACTGAAAGTACTTTGGAGCTTGAATCAGTAGCAGGTCAGTGTTTAAATCGTTGGTAATTATTCTTCGCTTGTATGCGCTGTTTCGTTTGATAATTTAGATCTTCCTGGGCGCGACCGCTTCATTTCATTAAATGTCATTCCCTTTTCTTCCTTTAGGAAAGAGAAAATTGCAAGAATTCTGTTGCTCGGTTCCACCTGACTATTGAAGAATTTGAGAGTGGCCTTGATGCGTCAAGACAGGCTTCTGCTGATATCTGCTGACTAGTTTACTAGGGTCGAGCACTTAAGTAGAGACCCCCTTGCTTTGATGTGAATAGCATACTTTGACGGAATCTGTTTTATGATCTGAGTTTGTAGATAGAGATTGAAAGGAATGCCAAATCATGTTGACCAAGGCCAAGCTGGACAGATGATATGAATGACTCGCCCGTGGTATTCTTCTACTCAGCTCTGTCTTTCAGTTTGTATTGTTGTGAAAGCAGCATACAGTGTGTGCTGAAGCTTCTCTCGCTCTTTCTGTGTGTTTCTCTTTTGACTTGTAAGAAATGATAGATTATTAGATATGAACATTGTATTCTCATGTAGGTTTTGATTTCTGGAGTAAGTGCTGATTCTGTTTCCAGATTCTTCAAAGTCGAGGGGTTTTCACGTCCAGAGAGCAGAATCTTTAAAAGGTTAGGAAAGTGAAAGGTGTTTGTTTTCTTCGTAAGGCATTGTAGATCAGTTGTCATTAAAAGGGATTGGATCGTTAACTTTGCTTTCAATATCTGTAACCAAATTTTTATGAACCGAAGCAATACTATAGCCCTCCTTTTTTGGGAGTTCGGGCTACTGACAGATGGTTCTCATTTTTAAGTATTGTGAGGAGTAAACATGCAGTAACTACTAACTAGGTTAACTCAAACCAGGCTGATGAACCCCTTTGCTTTAGATCTGTTAAAAATAAAAATTTTCGTAACATGTTCCATTTGAACTGCAAAACAAGCTGCAATTCTGACATCACCCTACACATAATGAATAAAAATTAGACCTAATTCATGTTCATATGATGCATTTGTTTTTTATTGAGTTGTACGCTGCAGAAACTGCTATTTTCCTTTTCAACTTATCTACGCTATACCATTCTGTTGACTTTTCTATTGAAGAAATGGCAACATAAACCATTCTGTTGACTTTTCTGGGTTTCTTTTGCCCTTCATACGCCGTCCCTAATAATACAGTAAAGTGTAAGGAAAGAGTGGTTTTTGGCAGTTCTAAGTTCATTGAAAGAAACCTACTTTTCTTGGACTTGGAGGTTGCCCACATCTCACACGACTGAAAATGTGATTGGGAGATTGTTGAAAATTTAATCAACCCATTGGACCTTAATTCCCACATGAATCTAAAATGGGGTGGCTTTGATTGCAAAAGCAGCAGACTTTGCTTCCTCTTTAGATTGGGGGATGAAACATCTGACTTTTCTTCCCTTTTGTAAGGTCTAACTCCACGCACTTCCTTCATGCTTAGAAAACATTCCAGCTCGCTTCTTTTTCCACCTTCAGTTTCGCCTGTGATATATGAGCCTGATTGAACCTATAAATCCAAGATCAAATTCAAAGTCAAAACCTTCCCTCCTGACAGAGACTGCAGAGAACTTTCACACTTGGAAACAATGCAGCTTCTTCATTCAACTTCTAAACCAAACTCTTCTTCTACACGGTTCATCAGCTTCATCATCTTCTCATCATCCATCCTCACCGTCTACCTTCTGGTCTCGCTCTTCCTCGTTGGTTCCTCCAAGCTCACGAGCGTAACTTCCTGGGAAAGTTCAGCTTCACAACACTCACCGACCACTCTCGACCACATTGTGTTTGGGATTGCTTCCAACAAGAAATCATGGCAGAAGCGGAAGGAGTACGTCAAGCTCTGGTGGAAGCAGCCACATCCGCAGCAGCAGATAGCGATGAGGGGCTGCGTGTTCCTCGAGGAGCCGCCTGATGACTTCAATGTCACCTCTGGCAATGACAATGCCACCCTCCCTCCAATCTGCATCTCTCAGGATACCTCCAGGTTCCGTTACACCTTCAAAAATGGTCTGCGGTCGGCGATTCGGGTGGCACGTGTGGTTTCCGAGACGGTGGCACTGAATCATTCCGACGTCAGGTGGTTCGTGTTTGGTGATGACGACACAGTTTTCTTCCCCGAGAACTTGGTGAAGACGTTATCGAAGTATGATCACGGGCTTTGGTACTACATAGGGTCGAACTCGGAGATCTACGAGCAGAATAGGCTGTTTGGGTTTGACATGGCTTATGGTGGAGCAGGATTTGCTATTAGCTATCCGCTGGCTAAAGTTCTCGCCAAGGTTTTTGATTCTTGTATCGAAAGGTACCCTCATCTTTATGGAAGTGATTCCAGGATCTCTTCTTGCTTGGCTGAGCTTGGCGTGACGTTAACTCGAGAGCCTGGTTTCCATCAGGTATGTATGTGTATCATATTTTAATGATGTATCACCACCCTGGTTTCTTAGGAAAGCCCTGTTTCCATACTGACAATTTGCTTCTTTTCCAGCTGGATTTCCATGGCAATATGTTCGGTATACTGACATCACATCCAACGACACCATTAGTATCCCTCCATCACATGGACCACATCGACGCAATCTTCCCCAAAATGACAACCCGAGACTCTGTTAAGCATTTACTAGAAGCAGCAAGGATTGATTCCCAGAGGGTTCTGCAGAAGACTGTGTGCTATGATCGCTGGTTCTCGTGGACCATTTCTGTTTCATGGGGCTACGCAGTTGAGGTCTACGGCAATCACATGCTTCTCCCCGATGTTCTTCCCGTCCAAACCACTTTCAGGCAATGGAGCAAAGGTGACGTTCTAGCTGCAACGTACGTTTTCAACACCAGACGGCCTCACCCGGATCCATGCAGAAGAGCCACAGTTTTCTTTCTTGATCGTGCTTCTTCTGAGGTGACTAATAATCAACAGTTGGTGACCAGCCATTACAAGAAGCTGTTTGTAAACTGCTCGCAAGATATGGGTTCACCTAGAAGACTTGAAGAGATTAAGGTGGTCTCACATAAGCTTGACCTCAGCGACAAACAGGTATGGTAGATGCTGCTGATTGATTTCTTTCTGTAACCTCTCAAGATGATTGATCGCTGATTTGATTTGATTTGTTTAAGCTGCGGGCTCCAAGGCGGCAGTGCTGTGAAGTTTTGCCTTCTTCTGGGAATAAAGTGATGGACATTGCGATTAGGGAATGCAAAGATGACGAACTGATTCACATGAAATAGGTAAACTTGATTTGTTGTTTATGGAGGCATACATTCTTGGTTGCCATTGCAAGATTCACACTGATCTCGAATGAAGCTTAAGAGATAAAAACCCAGGCAAGGGTTGGGGATCTAGTAGCTGTTATGCAGAGGCAGTGGGAAGTAAAGTAAAAGCATGCCCCAACTCTTGTGGAGTAATTCAAGAGGGAATACAGAGGCTTATTTGACCTTTTCTTTCTGGAAAAGAATCCACTTTTGATTATTTGTGCATATTTTGTAAGAATGATGAAGTAGAAACCACAGAAAAATGTATCCTTACACGGACACAGAATATGGAGGATAAATTTTCATCCAATGAATAAAGTAAAGAAAGCAATGAACTTTCTTGTCATGTATTTGGTTTTTATGTCTTCCTTATTTGCTGAGTCTTTTTGTTGATCCGATCTTAGATTTAGTAGCTGGCTGTGGGTAGGGCAGGGTGTCCAACGGTCCGCACCTGTCCAGACCTGTTTTGAACCGGATCGAATATCACATTAAGAAGAGGTTGAACTGGTCTGTTCAGCCCCTATGATTTTACTTGTTGAGATGGAATCAAGACTGAAAAATATGAGGGAAATATCTCCGTTTGGTCTGGATTGGTTTGTGCGCAGGTTTAATCCAATTCGGCCCCGACTCAAAACACTAAACCCTAGAATGGGTAAAAGATTTTGGGTTTGAAAGGAAGAAAAGAGGTGAGGAGTAACAATTGGTTTGATGAAGACTGGTGGGAACAACTTCAATTTATCAATTATGCTGCTGACTTGCACTAGTCTAAAGGAAGACTTTGCAGGTCTTCTTTACGATATAAAGCAAATGTGAATGGCTATATCACACGAAGAGACTTCTGCTTGTCGGCACGTTTCTTAGGAAAAATTTCCCTTTTGCAACCGTGTTAAATGGTTAGGAAGGTTAATTTATTGTCCCACTTCTGTCTGAGCTCACCTCATCCCTGCTTCAAAAAATGAAGTCCATGATATCTTTCATATTTCTGTCTCTACTGCTGCTTCATTTCTACAACCCCATTAGAGCCCAAAACACAGATCCTTTTGTGATCTGTGGCACAAATGGAAACTACACTTCAGGAAGTTCCTTTCAGCAGAATCTGAACCAGACACTGACGTCACTTGCTGCGAATGCGTCCCCCACAGGTTACTACACTGCCTCTGCAGGTCAAAACCCTAATGCTGTTTATGGTCTCATTCAGTGCAGGGCTTATCTTTCCAAAGAGGACTGTCAAACTTGTGCAGACAAAGTAGTTTCGGAGGTCACCCAATTGTGTCCTTACAGAAAGGAAGCTACCAGATATAATGGAGAGTGTTCTTTACAGTATTCAGACTGGAGATTCTTTGGTCAACTTGATAGCACACTGAGGATTATTGTTACTTATGGTGGGGAGAAACCTAGTAACATGACTCTTTTTAGAAGTCAGCTACGTTACTTGCTTCAGAATCTTACGTTAATAGCTCAAACTGACAATTCTAGATTGGCTATGGGGAGCATAAGTTACTTGACATTTACTCCAATCTATGGTATGGTCGAGTGTGTCAGAGATTTATCTGGACAGGGATGTGTGTTTTGCCTTCAAGATCTGTTTGAGTTTATTCCTTCAGCTTTGGGTGACCAGTCTAATGGTCAGTTGTCTGCTATAAGTTGCAGTTTCCGATATGGTCTGTTTAAGTTCTTTCAATTTTCACTACCACCACCTCCTCCACCACCTCCATCCCCGCCACTGCCTCTTCAGCCGCCTCCTTCACCACTGCCTCGACCGCCAACATCACCACTTGAACCAAATGCAACATTTGCTTCAAGTAATGGTAAGTTATCATTTCCATCCATGGAAGATCTCTGAAGGAACATGAATCTATCATTGATGCATTAATATCCTGATGCTGTAGGAAAAGTATTTCGAATCGTTATTATGGCGATCACACCGGTGGCTGTTGTTGCATTGATTATAGTACCAGGAATCTATTGTTGTTTCTTGTATTGGGGGAAATACACAAGGAAATTATTTGGTAAGTGAGTTTCATACTATAAAAGGCTTCTGCTTCTATTAGAGCTTTCAGTCGAGAATCTATCTGAAACTGTTTCCTGATATATATTAGATCGAGAAGGTGGAAATGATGAATATGATGGTTCAAGCTCAGAAACACTTTTGGTTCCATTCAGTGTACTTAAAGCAGCCACAAGCGGCTTTTCTGATGGAAACAAGCTTGGACAAGGTGGTTTTGGTGCAGTTTATAAGGTAACAACTTGACTTCTTAATGCTGTTACAAATTGTTAGTTACTTTTATTCTTTGTTAAAATAATTACGACGTAAAAAGAAAAAACACAATTCAGGGGAAAATGCCTGATGGGCAAGAGGTAGCTGTGAAAAGGCTATTGACAAGCTCAAGTCAGGGCTTGGAAGAGCTTAAAACGGAAGTGAGGCTGGTTGCTAAACTTGAACATACTAATTTGGTGAGGTTGCTGGGCTGCTGCATTCAAGGAAAGGAACAGCTTCTTGTCTATGAGTACATTTCCAATGGTAGCTTGGACCAACTACTATTTGGTATCAACTGACATTTCAGGAACTTGTCTTCTCCTTCTCCTTTTTGGTTGGAAAGTCCCGTTAACAGACTAAGTGAAATTTGCAAAATCTTTTGATGAAGCAGCCGAGAACAGAAAGTCCATCTTGACTTGGGAAACAAGGTACAGAATCATTGTTGGAATTGCTCGAGGAATGCTTTATCTGCATGAAGATTCGCGTCTTAAGATTGTTCATCGCGATTTGAAAGGAGCTAACATTCTGTTGGATGAGTCTATGAACCCTAAAATTGCAGATTTTGGGACTGCAAGACTCTTTTCAGCCACTCAGACTCACATCAGCACAAAAAAAGTTGCAGGCACTCGGTAAAGAAACAAATACAATTTCCAGTCTTTGAATCATTATATTTAAAACTCAAATCTCATGTTTTTCTTTTGTAAATGATTGAAGTGGGTATATGCCCCCAGAGTATGTCAAGAATGGTCAGTTCTCTACTGTATCTGATGTCTATAGCTTTGGAATTCTGCTCTTGGAGATAATTTCTGGTGAAAGGATCACCACTCCTCGCAACTACTCCAATCTTCAGAGCGATGTGCGTATAATGGGACAATCTTTCCCATTTTTTTCGACGCGAGGCTTATACTTATATTCTGATTCTAAAGAATTTTCAGGCATGGGAATATTGGGTCGATGGGAAAGCATTGAACTTGCTGGATCGAACCTTGGGCCGCAAGTATCCAAGACATGAAGTTCTGAAGTGCATCCACATTGGTTTGTTATGTGTCCAGAAATCTGCTTCCAAGAGGCCTAAGATGTCATCCATTGTTCTGATGCTTAGCAGCAACACATCAAACTTCTCATCCCCACGAAAGCCAGCATTTTACATTAGCAATCGAGATACTCGGTCTGGCTCAGTAGTGGAGGAACCTAAAATCTCTCAATCAGATAAAAACTGTATTGTATCACTAAATAATCTGACAATAACTGAAGCATATGGCCGGTGATGAAGTTACTAGGACTAGTTTTTTCAGTTTGTTTATTATTTGTACGTTGATATCATGCCAAACTGAAGAGCCACAGTTACACAATGAGTGTCTTCTTGCATACTGCAAGCCTGTCAATTTGTCTTCTTGCATACACCCTTCTTTATTGGTGTGTGATTATTCTCGATTCCATCTTTGTAGCTTAAGGAATTGATTAATTTGTCCTCTCTTTCTTTGTTCCTTTTATCATTGGCCGGCAAGCATCACATTAATCTTTATCTTGTCTTTTATCGTCTGGCGTGTTTACTTGTAACTAATACAGTTCTGACATTCATCAAATAATATATGTAAATTTTTGCATCAGTAGCGGTTGGAGGGTTTCCTACAGATTTCAATATCAGTTCAGCTACTTTACTTTTGTTTTTGAACCTAAATGAGCATTTTAGGAAACAATAAGAAAACCAGAAATTGAGTTGCAGATACTCATAAGCAAGGTTACAGAGGTTGCCATTCTAACTATGCATCTTCTTGTCTTCCTTCTCTTACTTTCATGGGTTCATAATTTTTCCCAACATGTCCCAGCTGCTTACTTCACTTGTCAGAATGACAGGAACTACACTTCTGGAAGTCCATATCATCTGAACCTGAACCTGACCTTCAAATCCTTAGCTTCTAATGCCTCTGCTGATGACTACTCTACTGCTTCCATTGGCTCGGGCCCAGATCAAGTCTACGGTCTCATACAGTGTACAGGTTATACTCCCAGGGACGCCTGCCAAGCTTGTGCAACAAACATGGTCTCTCAGATCACCCAAATGTGCCCTAACCAGAAGCAAGGCTCTATATATAATGAGAAGTGTACATTGCAGTACTCCGACATGAATTTTTTCTCAGATCTAGATAGCACCCCACGTTTCATCATGTGGAACAATGTGAATGCATCTGATCTTGTTCTTCTAAAGACCAGCTTGGGAGCTTTGCTCAAGTCGCTTTGGCCTCATGCTGCAGAGAGCCTTTCCAGGATAGCTTCTGGGAATTCTACATTTACCAAAGTTAAAAATATCTATGCTCTGGTGCAATGCTCTAAAGGCATTTCTGGAAGTGACTGCTTGACTTGTCTTCAGAATGTTTCCATGACGTGTTTGCTTTTTCTGGACAAAGGAGAAAGTGGATTTCTTTTTGCTCCGAGTTGTAATCTGCGGTATGATACTCATCTATTTTATTCAGCTTTGCCGGCTTTTCAACCTGGTTTGGATCAACCTCCACCTCCCTCACTGCTTGAAGAAGAAAACCAGTCAATAAGTCATGGTTAGTAAACTTTTTTTTTATGTGTTGTTATGTATTTCTCCATTGATTTAACTAATGACCGAGGATGATTAAAATGCTGTTTATGTTGATATCTTGATGTTGCAGTGGAAGCCTCTAAGATAAGTGTTATCCTGGCGATGGCTGCAGCTCTTGCTTTGTTGATAATGGCTGGTACCTATAGTTTCTTGCTTTGGAAGAATCGCAGAAGGAATGGAGTTGGTATTTTAGCTTAAACTCTTTACCATAGACTTATAGCTCTAGTATTTCTATATGTATCCTTACATTTCATTGAATATGCATTTTAATGTCTTCTTAAACAGTCGGGGATAGCAATAGAAGTTTGGAGTCACTTTTGACTGAATTTGATAAACTCAGAGAAGCAACAAACAACTTTGCAGATGAAAACAAGCTTGGACAAGGTGGATTTGGTGTAGTTTATAAGGTATCTAACACTTCAGGGGAAGAAAAGTTTTTATTAATATGTCTGGATTAATCTCAGCAGGTTATTTTTACAATATCTGAAACAAGAATCTGGCAGGGGAAAATGGTGGGTGGGCAAGAGATAGCTGTGAAAAGGCTTTCAACTGGTTCCAAGCAAGGTCTAGAAGAGCTCCAAACAGAAGTAATGTTGGTTGCGAAACTTCTGCATCAAAATCTGGTGAAGCTGTTGGGATTCTGCATAGACGAAGAAGAGAAGTTGCTTGTCTACGAGTATCTTCCTAATGGGAGCCTGGACAAATTTCTGTTTGGTACTTCCTTTCTCTTTTACTTTACATTGATTCATGGCATGATCTAATAACAAATAGATAAATTGATGATGGTAGTCCTTTTCATCAAATCTTGGATCGATGCAGATAAGAATAGAAGGCTGAAACTTAATTGGGAAATGAGGTACAATATCATTGTTGGGATTGCTAGAGGACTTCTATACTTGCACGAAGAGTGCCCACTAAAGATCATTCACCGTGATATGAAAGCCAGCAACATTTTATTAGACGAGTCCATGACGCCTAAGATTTCTGATTTCGGGCTGGCAAGACTTTTCCCTGGTACTCAAAATCATTGCATTACAACTAGGATTGTTGGGACATAGTAAGAACTTGAACCTCGTCCAACTACTACTTCTAACATGATTGGTTTTAGACAACACTTAACATACCAGTAGTTGTTTTTTGTTTTGTTTTCTGGGTGATGGATGAAAGTGGCTACATGGCACCAGAGTATGCAGTAAGAGGGCGATACTCGACTAAATCGGATGTCTATAGCTTTGGAATTCTGGTACTGGAGATCATAACAGGTACAAAAAACTCCAGTTTTCAAGACTCCAGGAATCTTCAAAGTTATGTAAGTAACAATGTAGGCGGAGTAGGCCTCTCATGGACATTTGTTTTCTCCTCTTTAAGGAAATTGGGTCATTGGCCTTACTTGAACTTCTTTTGGTAGGCATGGAGGCATTGGGTCAATGGAACAGCTTTGAAGATAGTGGACTCAACCTTGGGCGATGAATTTGAAAAGGATGAGGCTCTGAAGTGCATCAACATAGGACTGTTGTGTGTTCAAGAAGCTGCAGCGAACAGGCCGACAATGTCTGATATCTTATTGAAGCTTGGAAGCTACACTAAGCGTGGTCGAACTCCTTTACTAGCTGGTTTTTCAATCACTAGGCACATAGCTGCTCCAGATTTATTAGAGGAAGATTCTTATACCACGACCGTATCGATCCGAGATAACACAGACCAACCCTTTAATACCCTTTCATCGGGAACAACACTAACTGAATTAACATGGCAAAGCTAAACTCTCTCCAGGATTAGTTTGTACCATTTACTGGTTGTACAAAACATAGATTCTTGTTAAATGGGGAAAGAGTAAAGAACCATATTATGATTATTCCATGGATCTGGTGTATCTTGAAGCTTCAGCTTTTAGTTTCACATCAGTCTCAAAGTTCACTTGCTATGATCACAAGGTTTAGCTCCTATCCAAATAATCACTTGACCTATAAGAGCAGAAGAAGTCAGTCGTAGATTCTTAAGAGTTTCATACACTGAAGTTGAGTTGGTCTGTCGATTCTTGTTTGCATTACTAAGATTGACTACTTCTCATTCCTTTCAGTTTGGCCTGCCCTGCATGACAGCGACCTTATTTGTCTTTTCAAGAAATTTGCTTACTTGTCTTATTCACACTTGAATTAATAATATTCCCTGTTACTACATAAGTGCAGGTTCATGAAAGGTGGTCCTTGGCTTTTATGCTAGCCTGCATATCAAATACTTAAAGAAATCAGAATATGATAATGGCTGGTGGTCATTTTCTCTTCTTTGACCGGAAGGAAACTGAGTTGGAAAAAATGTAGGTGTTACATGCATCCCTTATAACTTGTTCTGCTGAAACTGATTCATTTGCTTCGTAAAACCCTAAGATAGAGTTGGTGAATATTATGATGAAGCTACTTGAACCATATTTTATTGCTGCTCACTTGCTCTTCATTATTTCATGTCTTCTTCATGCTATGAGAGCACAACATGTCCCTTCTTTCAGCTGTGAACTCAACATGAACTACACTTCAGGTAGCCCTTACAACCGAAATCTCAACCTCACCCTCGCTGCATTAGCTGCAAACGCCTCTCGAACTGGCTACTTCACAGCCACCACAGGCCAGAGTCCAGACATAGCTTATGGACTCGTACAGTGCAGAGGTTATATCTCTCCAGAAGAATGCCAATATTGTGCAAAGGCATTAGCTGCTAACATCACACAGATGTGCCCCAACCAGAAGGAAGCTGCCATATTGAATGAGGATTGCACATTGCAGTATGCTGATTGGGAATTCTTCTCGGTTCCTGATATTATCCCCAGATTGGGTTTAGTCAGTGATGAGAATGCAACGGTCCCAGTTGCATTCAAAAGTCACTTGGGGGAATTGATGAAGAATCTGTCATCAACCGCTGCTGCTGATCCTTCGAGGCTGGCTTTTGGGAGGGATAGATATGGAGACTTCCAGTACGTACATGCTATGGTGCAGTGTACAGTTGACTTGTCTGGACCCGATTGCTACAACTGTCTGCAAGCGATGGTTAACGATATTCCGAGGTTTATGGCTAACAGAACAGGTGGGAGGATATTTGCTTTGAGTTGCAATGTCCGGTTTGATAGATATTCCTTCTTTCAGTCGCCACTACCACCAGTTGCTGTCTCTTCTCCACCTCCTTCATTACTGCAATCAAACCCTACATCTAGCGGAAGCAATTCCTCCAAGGATTATGGTAAAATCCTCTTGCTTCTTCTTCACAGAAAATGATGATTGGAGGTCGATTGCAAGAAGTTTTTTTTTGGTCATGTTTTGTTATGCAGGCAAGAAAGTCAAGACCATTGTTACTTTGGTGGTTATATGTAGGAAACCTATTTTTAGGGTTCCCACGATTGTGTTGGGAAATTGGGAATTGGTAGAGATTTAGGGATTTAGAAGAGAATTAGGGAAGAACAGAATTGGGGATTAGGGATTTAGAAGAGGAAATTGGGGATCGAAGAGAAGAATGGCCGTCGGCCTAGGGATAGATGACGAAATTGAGAGAGATTAGGGTTTGAGATACTGTTCTGAATAATTGATCTTGCTTCCTTGTAACGGAATACCCAAGTACATATTTATAGGAAAAGATAGGAAAACCTAATACTAAACCTAATTCTACTAAAAGACTACTAACCATATTTAATAAAACCTAATAATAACAATAATGATAATTATGGTAGAAACCCATTTTCTTAAGGAAAACGTGTTTCTAACATCCCCTCCCCCTTGAGACCAACCTTGCCCTCAAGGTTGATCAATTCGACCCACTTCTTCCCGTCTACTGTGCAATCCACGTCGTGGCTCCTCCATTTATTGCATTTTCTTTTCTTCCAATCGTGCTCCACTACTCGGACGAAGCCCATTCCAGTGAACCCGACTCTCCTCCACTTTTCTCGAACCACGTGACACGGGTCACGGTCTCCATAGCCAAACAACTCTTCCCCTTCGTTCGCACAATCCACGAAATAAGAATTGGAGAGACGTTCTTCTTCATGCTCCATAAACTTCTCCATTGACTTGTATGTGAAAATAATCCAATCTCCTCCTCCTTTATCTTGGACTTGACCCACAATTGGTTGCAATGAAGAGCTGGAGCCCAACCCAATATTAAACCTCTTTATCTTTCTTCCAGTTTCATTTGGGCTTGGCTCATTGAGAAGCCCACAGACCAACCCAAGGACTCCACCTAAACTTGCTTCCTTTAACACACAGCCCATGTTGGGCCCATTTCTTTCCTCCTTCATGTTTGGTTCCTGCAAAATAAATCCAACAGAGAAGCCCATTGGTGGGCCGAAGCCCTCTTTATAACTCGGCCCATGATTCCTTTGTACCCAATTTCCCTCTTTCTTGTTCAGGCCACTACCAAACTCTTTCACGGCCCACTTCTTTTTTATTTGCGGCCCGCGAATTGGCTTAATCTGCTGATTCATATGGCACAAAACGAGCCCAGCTAGCTTACTCTTCTGCCCACCTGATTGGGCCAATAGTACTCGGCCCAAAAAGGGCTCAGCACTCCTCTTCACCCGCTGCAGCTTATGACCAAGGTCAATGGGCTCTTCTCTCATTCTTGGCCCAACCAACCCATCACTTTGGCCCGATGAGAACCCAACCCACTCCACTCCTTGGCGGCCTAGGGTTGCAGAAGAACACCCGCCGCCTTCCTTCTTCTTCGCTTCATTCTCCAGCGGCGCATCATCCCGCCGACGGCACGGCGGTCCTCCTGACCTCGCCGTCGACTTCAACTCCGCCACGTACTCCGACGGCGGTTCGAGTTCTGGCGCCCTCTTCGACGTCAGCTCCTCAACGGTCGGCTTCGTATTTGGAGTCACCGCAAGCGAAGAACCCCTACGACCCTGCTCCTCCTTCTCCTCTTCGATCCTCGACGGCGAGCGGCTCACCAGACGACACGAGTGCCAGCCCGATTGCGGTCTAGTCTTCGAGTTCTTCTCCCCGAGCGCGCCGCCCACCTTCTTCGAGTCCTCACCCGGCGGCAACGAGAACACCAGGCCGCGAAAAGCTAAACCCAAATCCATCTCGTTCTCCGACGATGGTTCGTATTCTAGCGGTTTCGACGACTGTAACTCGCCCTTACTCGAGAGAGGGAGAAAGCCAGCCTCGTCCACTTCGTTCGCCGACGCATCCTTCGAGTTGTTACCCGGCGACGCCATCTTCGTTTCCCTCCCAGCTTCCATTGACGAACAGATCTCCTTGACTGTGGCTAGCGGCGACATTAGCGAGCCCCAAATGTCGTTCGGTGTAGTAGGGATGGCCGACGCGGCGGCCCTGAACTCCTCTTCGTCCTTCCTCGGCTTCCTCCGAAATCGCCAGCTCGCTACTTGACCCGACGTTGGTCTCCTCTCCAAACCCTCGGTTTGGGTTTCTTCTTCCAAGGCGTTGATCTTCTCACTGTCGGGAACAAGGATGGAAGAAGCAGGATCACCTTCTTCTTCACTCACGACCGCGAAAGTACCATCGGCAGCCTTGGATGATTGTTCAACCGCTGCAAACAGTGTTAGTGGTGAAGCCGCAGTCGTGGTGACTGATGCTGTCGGAAGCTGCTGCTGTTTGTTGGTGACATTTGGAAGCTCTTCTGTGGCTGGCGGCTCGATTGCCAAAACCTCTTCCACGTCCGGTTGCTCTGCTCGCCTCTCAAGATCACCGTCTGAGTCAACCTGCACAACTGACGGTTGCTCTTCTGTGGTGGTGGCATTCCCAGTCGGCAGCTCCTCGGAGCTCCAACGACGGCCGATGCGGCGAGCCCGGTCACGCAGCTCTGCCCACGACAGGTTCGAGAGCTTTGAAGAGCTCATCGTCGAACCAGTTGTAGAACTCATCCCCGGTTGAGAGTTGTGGTGAACTCAATTCTCGAACCGGGCTCTGATACCAGATGTAGGAAACCTATTTTTAGGGTTCCCACGATTGTGTTGGGAAATTGGGAATTGGTAGAGATTTAGGGATTTAGAAGAGAATTAGGGAAGAACAGAATTGGGGATTAGGGATTTAGAAGAGGAAATTGGGGATCGAAGAGAAGAATGGCCGTCGGCCTAGGGATAGATGACGAAATTGAGAGAGATTAGGGTTTGAGATACTGTTCTGAATAATTGATCTTGCTTCCTTGTAACGGAATACCCAAGTACATATTTATAGGAAAAGATAGGAAAACCTAATACTAAACCTAATTCTACTAAAAGACTACTAACCATATTTAATAAAACCTAATAATAACAATAATGATAATTATGGTAGAAACCCATTTTCTTAAGGAAAACGTGTTTCTAACATTATACCTGTACTAGCTTCTGTGGTAGTGATCCTAGTTGTTTGTGCTACTGTTTATTTCGTCCTTCGACTCCAGGCTTCGAGGATAAATCCCGGTAAATTTTCAACTAGTAGCATACTAGAGCTATCAACCAATATCAGTTTCTTGATCCTAGTATTGAATATTTCATGCAGATGCTTCTGCAACAGATGGTGATGAAAGAGCTGCATCACTTTTGGTTAGCCTCAATGTGCTGACAGCAGCAACAATGAACTTTTCTTCATCAAACAAACTAGGAGAAGGCGGGTTTGGACCAGTCTACAAGGTACCTTTTTTCTCAGTATGACTTTGGATCATCATAAGCATTTACCTGGATATCCTGATTCTTATTTCTGTTCCCTTATACCCCCAGGGGAAGTTGCTTGATGGACAAGAAATCGCTGTTAAAAGGCTGTCAGCAAGCTCTAGACAAGGCCTGGAAGAGCTTAAAACAGAAGTAATGTTGGTGGCAAAGCTTCTGCACAAGAACCTTGTACGGTTGTTCGGATTCTGCTTGGAAGAAGAAGAGAAAATGCTGGTGTATGAATACCTACCTAATGGCAGCCTTGACAAGATTTTATACGGTATTCCCATATCATTTGGTATTTGTTTTTCCACTATCTTCCTGGAGGGATAGAACTGAGTGTTTGCTTTTGTTTTGTTGACAAGTTAGATCCCAATAGAAGATTTGACCTGGACTGGGGGACTAGGTACAGAATCATAATCGGGATTGCTCGAGGACTGCTGTACTTGCATGAAGATTCTCAGCTCAGGATCATCCACCGCGATTTGAAAGCCAGCAACATCCTGTTAGATGAGTCCATGAACCCTAAGATTTCAGATTTCGGGTTGGCCAGGCTTTTCCTAGGAAGTGAAACTCAAGGCAACACAGATCGGATTTCAGGAACTTAGTAAGTCCTGTTACAAAATAGAAACCATAAATTTAGCACCTGTGCTTCTTACGTTATTATTGTTTTCCTCTGTAGAAGGCTTGAACATAACAATACTCTTGTTTTCCATGGTTTGAAGTGGCTATATGGCGCCTGAGTATGCTAGAAATGGTTACTTTTCAGTGAAGTCTGATGTCTACAGCTTTGGTATTCTGGTACTGGAGATTGTGACAGGCAGAAGGAATGTCAGGAACCGGAACTCTGTCAACCTTCAAAGTCATGTATGCATCTCACAAGACTATTTCGTATTTTGTAGTTGGTTGATGACACTTTCAGTCCTTATATTATGTTTTTAAACAAACGGTCCTTGTAGATTATGCTGTTTATTCGTTTCTGGTCCCTCCAATTGACATTTGTTTTTCAAATCTATTACTAGTAAGGTGGATCCATGCTCAGCAAGCAGTATGCGCGCAGTTGCTGAAAACTCACGTGCCATGTATACTGAAAATCTGTATTTGCCGTCAATTCGACATAATTATGGCCAAATGATGGATGCACAGACATTAGTAATGTGGTTAGTGAGCATGGATCGACATCACTAGTAAATAAATGGATAAGCGACATAGTACAAGGATGTGTGTTTGATAAAACGAAATAGTAGAGGGACTGCATGCATCATAAACCCTTTCATAGTTACAGGTCATGAGAGTCTGGTTCTTCAAGTTTAGTTAAGTTGTGAACGCAGGTATGGGATCACTGGAACAATGGGATGGCTCTACAGTTGAGGGATCCAGCGATGGGGAATCGATGCGCAAACACCGAGGTCTTGAAGTGCATCCACATAGGTCTGCTGTGCGTTCAGGAATCTGCTGCTGACAGACCAACAATGTCGGAAGTCATCATGATGCTCAGCAGCCATACTGTGACCTATCCAACGCCTTTGCAGCCGGCATTCTTCATCAACAGAGGGGGGAGCTTTGAAGCAGATAATGATGATGGAGACAGATTTACTGCTGGTGCTGCTGAACTTGTCAACTCCAAATCAGAGCCGTTGCAGCTGTCCATAAATGATGTCTCCATCACAGATTTACATCCTCGTTGAGAGGTTTGTTTCTTTTGAGGTGCTGATCATGTTAAAGTGTTTATCTCTTTGAATGGTGATTACGTACACAATCTTTTATTTGTCTCAGTTACCAAGAAGAAGCTTTGTACACAGAACTAGCTAATTAATGGGTTTTTATTATATTTTTTGGAATCCTTCCAAGACTTGGCTTGAGCAAGAGTAAATTTACCAAAACCATCAATCCAGTAATAAGCTAGCATCTTTGACATGATTATGGTTCTTAAATATGGACTCTGATATATTCAATCTAGAATGTCTTTACAGCAGAACCCAAAACGCCTATTTATAGTTTCTACCAGATTCGAGTTCTAAGGTACGACGGATCATCAACATCAACAAATTATATTACATGCTTCACTTGATATCATTCTTGCCACATGGATGTTTGGAAGTTAGGATTCTCTAAATTGATGTATTTAATCAATGTATGTATTATAATTAGATGCATTGTTTCAATGTATGAATTTGAAAAATACATTGTTTGGAGATTGAATGATTTTGGTAGTCCTTCAAAGAATAAGGAACAAAAAGTAAGACAACAACCCCTCAAACACAATCTCTACTTAAAGTTGAGATTGACAATCATTCATAATGAATGATTCTGGTGGGCCCATTTGCTGTTCAAATACAAGCATTCTGTTTCATTTTAAGCCAAAAAAACGATGAATTCTTCTGATTACATGTATTGGTTAAATACATCATCTGAAATCCCAACTTCCAAACGAGGATTCTCCCTATTTCAAGGAAGGATAAATTCGTCTACATTTCAAACGCATGCGTCCTGTCTATATTTTTAATTTTTTGGAGCCTTATGTCCATTTCTCCTTTGGACAAAATTCTGCCCTCTTTTCCAATTCCCTTATTTACGGCAGTATTTGTAGCACCGCAGCCGTTTTTACAATCCCAAATCCCTACCGCCAACTAATTTCTCGATCCAAGTTTAGGAAAGTAGGCCACATCCACGTCTACTTTCCTGACAATCAGCTGCTTTGCAGAAAAATCCGACGTTGTCGTCCATTTGTGGTGTCGTTTGATATCAATTCAGCAGTCGTCGCCGTGGTGTTCGGTTATTCTGCAGCTTGGTACGTCGACTGCAGCGGAAAGAATTGGGAAGCTAATGTGTGTTGTTAGCTTAATCAAATTCCTACCCTCTGTGGCATGTGCTCTATAATTATCGGGCCTTTGTTTTTCTGTAATTGTGACATCTTTGTTTTGTCTGACTAAGCGAAATTGAAAAGCAGAGGTTAATTTGACATGTATGATTCGACATAGTTAAATTTGACATGTTTTTTATACAGTAAAATTGACCTTATAAACAAACAAAAACAATTGACAATTATTCAACGAAAAAAATAAATAATTGACAATGCTTATAGCATAACATCAGTTACAAAATACCAAAAGTGCATTTAATGATTAAGAGCCATTTAGGGTGTGCAATGGTTTAATGGTTTGGTGCGCATAGAGTAGAACCGGCCAAAAATAAAATATGGATTTGATTATACCAGAATAAATATATTATGATCTGATCTTTGGTCTCATAAATTTTATAAATACTAAAGAAAATGGACCAGATTGATTCTTTGGGTTACTTTTTTGTTGCTATGCTATTTAAAGGATTTGAATCTAACAAATCGAATCAAATGCAATGATGGTTCAATCCTTATTTCTAAGATATTTTTTTACTAATGGGCCGCGGTTTTCATGAGTCGGTCCGATCAATATAAATATTAATACTTAATATAGGGGCTGGACAAATGAACTTATAACAATGAACAATCTTCAAATTTTGAATTTTGAGTTTATAATTAAAAGCATCTTTCGTATTAATACATTGAGAGTTTAAGTATTATTGTTACATGCTATTGAAAGGATCTGTAGGGAAAGAAACACCCCAACCTCATATTCGAATTAGGGACATCCAAATGGAAAACTATCAACCAAACTTCTAAACCAAGTATCCTTTCCTACTACAATTGCACAATTAAAACTTTATAAAAAAGGGAATGAGGCTCGGTATAAAATGTTTTCTCATTTAATTCATTTATTTATCTACTCGCTATTTGTAAATAGGACATTTTGTATTTTTGTTTCTCATTGATATAAATAGGACATTTCAGATTTTAGTTTACCATTTATTTTGTAGTACATTCTAATTATCTTAATTAACTTGGCCATAAATATTCTTAATAAACTCATAATATATTCATGACCTGCTAACATTTTGAAATAAAATAAAATAAATTATTATTGCTCAAAAAATTTGAAAATCACACAATCGAACATACATGTTCTCAAGATCTACTACATGTTACCGGCCGACGGGACGGACACTAAACTAGTGTTTTGTTATATAAAAAAAGTACGACGGATGTGATATTTCTCTCAAAGCATGAAGTTTACTGATGCAGTTTTGCGGCTCAGGTTAGAGTGCATAATTTTAGCGTGCTTAACATAATTAAATCTGGACTCTTCCTTTTAAGTGGACGGTAGATGTAAGGGTGGAGAATTAAATACTTTTTATTTCCCCTAATTTTCTTAATCAAATCATATTGGATCTAAAAATTTCTAAATGAAAAAAATACTTGACCAAAAAATATCATATTATACCATACTACAGTACCCTGGTATGTGGGTGGTATCTTTCGTACCATATGATATATGCTCTTTTTAATATCAATCAATACCACCATGAATCCATGATATAGAATGATAAAAAATGGCTCAATTTTTTGTTCCAAAAATATATCAAAGTGAATATCATTTTGAAGCGCACAATTAATCTTATCTAAATGTGCAAATTTTTTTTTAACATTTTGACTTAAAACGAGAGAGAAGTCATCCAATAAAGATTAAGTGGGAAAAAAATTAAAGACTTTCAATAAAAGAGAAGAGGTGCTGATGTGGCGGATTGTGATTCTATTATGCATGATTATTGATCATAGAATCATGCATAGGATCTGTTCCCCAGTTTTGTATCGAAGTCGGTGGGAAGCTTTTAGAGGATTAGGAGTCTTGTTAGAAATCGGGTTCTAGAGCCTTTCGGATTCGTGTAGGATTGATGAAAATCTAACTAGATCGATTAGAGATTGATCTAACTAGGGATTTGAGAGATTGTGAGATTGAATAATTAAGAAATGAGAAGAGGAAGGAAGAAGCAAATCTACGGCAGCAACCTTGGGAGAATAGAAGGGGGTTCGGCCAAGGAGGGGAAGAGAGTGAGGAATATTAGGGTTGATAATTTATGTTCTATAGTTTCTTAATGGATAATACCGCTAATTACATAATATGTATCTGGAGGGACGGGATACGGTGACAACCCCTAAGGGGGTTGTCAAATTGACAACCAAAGATATTTTGGGTAAGAGAAAAATAATATATTAATGTTCTTTTTTGTATTAATTATATTGGAAATTAAGAACCCATATTAAATATAATTTTTTTAAATTTAAATCCTATACATTAATATCTCTATCTATTTCTCTCTCTTCCTTTCTCCAGCGGCCACTCCGCATCGACGGGCATACTTTTTCTCCGGCGAATTCTCTCCGGCAAACTCCCTCTGGCAACCTGAAAAAATGTATCAATGTGTTAAAAAGTGTACCAATCCATTAGTCTACTGGTAATTAATATACCAGTGCTAGTGGTACGCTACCAGTGCATTAAAAAATGTACAAGTGCTAGTGGTACGCTACCAGTATAGCGTTACCACTACCATATTGTATCGTACCACTAGCACTGGTAGTGTACCACTAGCATTGGTAGCGGTACCAGTAGAGAATAACACAAAAAAACATATGGTAGTGGTACCAGATGATAGTGGTACGCTACCACTACCAGCTACCTGATGGTAGTGGTAGGTAGCACTATCACTGGTACGCTACCAGAAGAAAAATGGTACCACTAAAAAACCAGATCTAGAAAAGGGGAGTCAGTGACGGGAGAGAGAGGTAGGGGAAGAGGGTGACCTCGTGACGGCGACAGTGGTGGGAGACGAAGGGCGGCAAGAGGGCTTCGACGAGGAGAGGATGATTGCGCCGCGGTGGTCGGAGGGGACGTTGCGACGACATGGGGTGGAGGGAAACTGAGGATTGCAGAGACGACGGTGGTAGAGGGCTGCTGCGGGAGACAGGCGGTAGAGGGCTGCTGCGGGAGACAGGCGGTGGAGGGCTGCTGTGATGGAGGATGCGGCAACGGTGGAGGGTTGGCGGTGGAGGACTGCTGCGATGGAGGATGGATGCGTGAGAGGGGGAGGAGGGGGGAGGAGGGGTGGGAGGAGTTAGGGTTTTGTTTTTAATTTACATGGGAGGGTAAATGGTTGTGTGTGGTAAATATTTTCCATTCCAAAAATACCCTTCGTTTAATCTTAACCATCAATTTGAGAAAAAAAAAAAGACAGGAGAGAGGGCATATCCAATGGTGAGGAGGTGGGTTGTCAAACTCACAACTCCCTAAAGGGTTGTCACCGTATCCCATCCCCTTCCTATTAGCTAATAGTGAATTAAGTAGTTAATTGAGTTAGTAGTTAATCAATAGTAGAGAATAAATGATATTATGCAATTATTAACAATATAATTAATATTACTAATTAATGATTCTCTGTCTCTCTCCTTCCGTGATCTTCTCCATAACTCTCTTTTTCTCTACTATCATTAAAAGAAAATTCTAAATGAATTTAATTAAATAATATTATTTAATATTTAATAAAATTCTAAATTCATATTTTTTTTTTGCTTTTAAATAGAAATTGAAAAAAAAAAAATATATGCGCTCTCTCTTCATGGAAACTGCAATGTAAAACCGGTTGACATTGTAAACGTTTATTAAAAAGAAGAAAAAAAAGTTTTTTTTGTTTTCCTCTGAAACCAGGGTTGAGAAGAGTGTTTCGCGAGATCGGCTGATGGCCTCCGTACAAGGCGCTCCAGCTAATTGGGCGCAGCTGTTCGGCGTCGGAGAGTCCAACTGCCTGCAGTATGTTGCCCCAGATATTGTTAATGGATCCTTAGTCATTCCAAGAGCGGTGCGGGAGGATGGTGCTGTTCGTTGGCGGCACGCTCTGGTAGGGCAATTT